TGATGATGATGTGATGTCATTTTCATTGTGTCAGGGTCTGCCCGGCAAATCTGCTTAGGCTGGATCCTTCGCCTTTACCTGCCTTTGATGCCAGGCACTTTCTGTGAGAATTTCATGTGGTTTCGAATGGTGAATTGTGTTTCAAGTGGAATTGAATTGCAATGATTGCAGCAATGCCACCACATACACAACGATATGTTTTTTGTTTGTGCAGCAATTTTGTTTCAAAGCCCGCTGTTGTTTTTGACTTGCGTGGTTGCAACCCAAGCTTTGTTTGTTGCAATGGTGGGTGGATGGGCCGAATGCTTGGAGGTTGGGAACCCAGAGCCAACCGATGAGGCACCAGCTTTGACGTTAGTCAACCACTTGTGGTGGCAACTCCTCAGCCCCTATCTGAAAACGGCTGGCAACGTCATCAGCACCTACTACGCGGAAGATCCTGAGGTGTATTTCAAGAAACAAAGGAACGATAGGCACTTGGACTTCCATGAGTTGGGATACCCTCAGAACTGGGGGACGGCCTCACCCGCATTTGCTATGGCCCTTGTGTGCCCACAGCTTCGCTACCTGTCTCACGATGTGAGGCATCGGGTTCTCGAAGTTTGGCTGTGGCGTGCCACAACATCTCAGTGTTGGCTCGAGTCAAAGACCTTTGTGGAGTCATTGACACAGACGATTTGCAAGTTGATCCATACAGGATGGTTCTTGCAGCTCCCAACGGGCTTGAAAACGCTCGAGAGTTTGGAAGAGTTGCTGAAGATCCGTGAAGCATTCGTGGATAGATTGAGGAGTTCACGACTGGCTCCAGGGATCCAAGGGATTGAGGATTTGCTCACCTGTCACCTGTCCACAGTCAACAAGTTGGCCCTGACTTCTAGGCCTTGGTCTCGAAGGTATCAGGAAGAGGTGACTACGACCGGATCGACATCGGACCCATGGACTTCGAATCCTGACCCATCGGACCCATGGACTACGACCAATGGATCTACTTGGGAGCCTTGGCATCAGGAAAAGGTGACTACGATGGGATCGACATCGAACCGATGGACTTCGAGAGGTGGCCGGACCGACGTCGAACCCATGGACTTCGGATCTACTTGGAGCCCATGGCAATGACTTCGGAGCCTTGGGATGGATGGAATGCGACTTCTGAACGTTGAAGTTGGTGACAGGTGACTTCGAAATCCCATGACAGGTGACTTCGACAAGTAATTAATCGAAGGTTTGGACCTTGACTTTTCAGCCTAAGGCTAGTCTTAGTCTTGTCTTCTTGAGCTTGAAGACCGGCATTGAAAATGCCATCGAAATCCCATGTGGCTAAAAAAAATCACTCCATTCTGCAGTTCTGCAGGGCACTCACGAGTGGGAGCGGGCAAGCGGATGTTGAGTTCCAAGCACGTTCACTGTCTCATTTCAATTCATATCACCACATGTGCCATCTACATGTCAGCAGCAGCTGAAGAACCATGACATCATGAAACGGCATGTTGATGTACAAAACAAGTCAACTATATAAAGCAATGCCAATCGATGAAAGCTTCCATGCTTATTTTCACAGTTGAGACAGTTGAGACAGATCAATTGACTGCAAACCTTGAAGTAAAAAATATATCAACAATATCAACTGAAAACTTATGGTCACATGTTTGGCTGCAGTAAAATAAAGTATGTGAAACCTTCACTTGTCACCTATCATCTGTCATCTGTCACCTGTCTCATTTTGCAGCCATGGCTGGGACTGGGCACATGGTTTTTCTGGCAATGGGTGCTGAAGAGGAGTACGTGTGGCGCCGACAGACACGTCATAGCCTGATTGGTATTTCTGCTGCTGTTTTCCACTGACTTCTTTTCACTACAGCACTGATACTTTTTGTCACCTTCCATCTGATTCATTGAGGTCTGGGACGAGAGATCATGGGCGACGTTTTGAACAGCAAGTTCAGGGGCTATGTGCATCAGTCACTTGATGTGACTTGGCATTGCCTTACATGTTCATTGTCACAGATTGTTCATTTGATGTGCATTGATGTGCATTCATTGTCACAGACTGTTCCCTGATTCCTCTAAGGTCCGTGGATTCGCGAGGAACAACCCAGCCAAGTCTGTGAAGCGAGGGGGGCAGATCTTGGATGGTGAGGTGCAGATTTTTTTTTTTTTATCTGACATGTGTGGCATGAAGTTCATTTTGTGTGCCATGAAGTTCATTTTGTTATTCAAACTATTCCTGCAGGTTCAAGACATGCTGATGGAGCAGAAGGAGATCATTGCGTGCGCGCTCTATGTGGTGGAGTGCGCGAAGCTCCTGAAGTACCACCACAAGATGACGTGGGTGGTCTTCCTCCTGACGTGCCACTTTGCCTGCATGGGAACTGCATGTGTTTGTGTAAAACAATGGTTTCAAAATCAAACATGATGATGTGACTGGATTGTATGGGATACTGATCCAATAAGATGTCCTTAGGTAATTTCCTTCACATGTCACCTGTCACATGTCAGCCTTATGCATTTTCACACTTAGGTTCAGCTGGCAAGCATCGGTCTGCTATGGTGGCATTGCTGGCAGCCTTCATGTTGGATGAGCTTGTCTTCTTGCCATCTTACCACACGTTTCTTGGCAGTGCTTTTTTTGGTTGAGACATGACTGAGACAGTTGACATGAGGTTTCACATGTTGACATGTTTCAATTGTTGGGTTGAGACAGTTGACATTGATTGAGACATGTGGTTTCACATTGACTGAGGTTGTCATCAGAGCCATGGGAAGTGAAAGAGGGTACTTTGAGCCCGAAATGCATTAAGATCCTGAAGGCAACTTGGCTGAAATAGGAACTTTACACATTCATTGCTTGTGTCCCTGATCACTATATGTGGCTTCTATATAATGCCTTTGACACCCCAACTTCCGATTACTCTTTATTCTTTGAAGGCCAGCACATGTTCCATTCAATTACTGTCTTCTGTCATTACTTGCTCCAATGTTTCTTGGGTGATGGAGGTGATGATGATTTTAGAGCAAAGACTACGATCTTCAACCCAAGCTACAGCATAGTTTTCATGATAATGATATAGCTACTATGATCTTCGGCCAAAGTAGTTTGAAATTTGCTCGGAAGCTGAGGCCGCCCAGGAAGCAGCAGGAGCACTTGATGCAGCAGCACCAGATGCAGCAGCAGCAGATGCAGCAGCAGCAGATGCAGCAAATCGATCATCAGCTGCAAATCCGGCAGATGCCAAGCCTGCAATCCCAGGCAAGTTTGTTTGGTTTGTTTGGTTTCTTCTGGAGATCTGTTTGTTTGGTTTGTTTGGCCCCCTGGCGCAGATGAACTGCAGAAACAGTTACAAGCAGCTTGCGCGCCGGTGTACTTTGCCCTGAAGAATCTGCCGGTGGAAGAGGCATCGTACGTGGCTCCTTGGAAGAACAACATACTTGAAAAACATATTGAAAAACTTATTGAAGCTTGTCTATTTGTTTCTTGGGTGTACTCTTACAATGTGACAGGTGCTTTCCACAAGACCTATCATTCATGTTCAGCCCAAGTTCTTAGGCTTTGCTGGGCCTGGCAACTTTCTCCGATGATGGCCGCAAGTTCGCGCTGGCAATCCTGAATGCCCTCCAACGCCACTCGTCTGCAATTTGACAGGTGATGTTGAGTGTAACAGGTGACATTGCATGACAAGTTTTCAACATGTGACAGGTGACAGGTGGTGTTGCATGACAAGTTTTGAACATGTGACAGGTGACAGGTGGCGTTGCATGACAAGTTTTGAACATGTGACAGGTGAAGCTGATCCGGATAAAAAGAGGTGCAGCTGCTGTCAAAGCCATAATGTCAGAGTAATGGTGTCTACTGTCAACTGTTTGCTGTCTCCTGTCACTGCCAATGTCTCCTGTCAGGTGGGGTTCGGCCGACGCTGCCATCATTGCCCATTGCCGTGAGAAGATGAAGCTGTTGACTGCCCAACATTGGACGGCATCAACAGGGCAAGAGCACCCAAAGCGTAGGCGTTGAGGAAGAAAAATTGTGGGTGTTGTGTGCTGCTCTACTTTGTGCTTCTGTAGATTGCACTCTTTGCCAGTCTTCGGTAGATTGCATGTTGATGTCATGTCGTTTTTTGGCGATTCCTGTGGGAGGCATTTTTTCCAGATGAGCATGTCCTGCTCTCAGATCCACTGTCGAAGTGATGCAGTTGTCTCCACGACATCTTCTCTTTACATCAGCTGTCTGCTTTCTAATGGGTTGACTTGACTTGAACTTGAGCTTGATTCTCTTGTTTTTGTTTTGTTTTTATTCAGAGATCTCATGACAATGAGCCTCATGTGCTACCGAGTCATGTGCTACCTTCAACCGAACCTCCACTAATTCACTGCCCGAAACTCAGATTCAGTATCAGGTGTTGCATGGTTTTGCACACTGAAAAAGTTTCTTGTGCAAATGCCATCAGTTCAGATTCAATGATGTGCACAGTGTGTATATATATAATTAAATGTTAATATATATATGTAAATAAAGAAATATATATATAAATATATATATATATAAATATATATATATATATATAAATAATATAAATAGACATTTAATACACCTATTGAAAATAGATAGATAGATAGGTAGATAGGTAGATAGGTAGGTAGATAGGTAGACAGGTAGGTAGATAGATAGATAAATAGATAGATAGATAGGTAGATAGATAGATAGATTGATAGACAGAAAGATAGATAGATAGATAAAAAGATAGATAGATAGATAGGTAGATAGATAGATAGATAGGTAGATAGATAGATAGATTGATAGACAGAAAGATAGATAGATAGATAAAAAGATAGATAGATAGATAGATAGATAGGTAGATAGATAGATAGATTGATAGACAGATAGATAGATAGATTAGTCAGGTAGGTAGGTACATGGACAGATAGATAAATAGGTAGCAAGACAAATAGGTAGACAGATGAATAGACAGATAGATAGACAGATAAGTAAACAGATAAGTAGATACACAGATGAGTAGATAGACAAACATGTAGAAAGAATAGAAGTATAGTAGATAAATTGGTAGATGGATAGATAGGTAGATAGATAAGTAGAAAACCAGGTAGCAAGAAAACAAGTTGGTAGATAAATAAAGGTCTCAGCTGCACTGGGGACCTTGGGTGGTAGTCGAAAAACTGCTGGGTAATTCCTGGGAGTGAGAAAGACAAACCATACAAACGGAAGTCAAACCATAGAAACATTGCGGACCTATTGCTGTCATACAAAAATATATAGGTTTCAACTGCAAAGAGTTGTCCAAATTGCCTTGGGAGTGCCAAAGTTGGAAGCCCAAACACAAGAAAGAAATCGGTTCTCACAGACTTGAGTTTTTTTTTTTTGCAAAACCCAAACCAAGAGGAAATTTACAACGATAGATAGATAGACAGCAAGAAAGAAGAAAATAAAGGAAGGAAGAATGAAAGGAAGGAAGAAAGCACGATATTAGATAAATAGATTGAAAGATAGATCAATAGAAAGAAAGAAAGGTATTACATTGATAGAGAGACAGATAGGTAGATAGATAGACAGATAGGTAGATAGATAGATTGGCAATGAAAATGCCCAAATTTGATGTAACTTTTAGATTTTAAAGAAGCTAGATAGATAGATAGATAGATAGATGGATAGATAGATAGATAGATAGGTAGATAGATAGATAGATAGCCAAACAGATAGATAGATAGAAAGACAGATCCACAGATTAGTTAGGTAGGTAGAACGATAGATAAATAGAAAGATAATGAGAGAGAGATAGAGAGATAGATAGATAGATAGAGAGATAGATAGTGAAATGGGATTCTTACAAAGCGCGTTGCAGAAGGGGTTGGATGATTATACAAGATGTCCAGACGCATGAGTCCCAAGTCATCCTTGGGAAGCCCCACGTCATTGAATCTAGATATTGTATACATACATATATTTACATACACAACTTTACTCTGTGTCGAGACCTTCAGTGATGGGTGTTGAAAAACCATCCAGTCCTATGATTTTGTGTCTTTTACTACCAATTGAAAGATGGGTTAGTAACAGCTTCACTTTTAAACTATTACCCCAATTTTCTGGCACTGACTTCTAAGGGAATCACTTAGCTTGTTCAGTACTGCTTGTTCCTGAACCTGGCTGCTGATTATTGAGAAAGTTCTTGACATGACAGGTGTCCAACTTTGAAAGTTTAAGTTACTTGTCGTTTAAGTCACTTGTCGTGTAACTGACTGGGAAGTAATGTTCTGCAGCACTAGTTCTCAAACAACATATATGCCAATATTTGAAAAACTAGAGATCTTGGAGACAAAGTGTTGCAGAACATTAATTCTTCAAGAGATCTTTGACAACTACGGTTGCTCCCAAATCCCAGATCTTCGGTTGGCCCAAATCCCAGATCCTCGGTTGACCCAAATCCCATATCCTCGGTTACCCCAAATCCCAGATCCTCGGTTACCCCAAATCCCAGATCCTTGGTTGCCCCAAATCCCAGATCCTCGGTAACTGGGAGTTGCCTCAGGAATGGGCATGTTTGAAGTTGAAGTGTGTGTCAAAATCCCAAGTCCTCGGTTGCCCCAAAACCCAGATCCTCGGTTAGCCCAAATCCCAGATCCTCGGTTACCCCAAATCCCAGATCCTCGGTTACCCCAAATCCCAGATCCTCGGTTACTCCTCGGTTTTCCCAAATCCCAGATCCTCGGTTACTCCTCGGTTTTCCTAAATCCCAGATCCTCGGTAACTATGGGCATGTTTTGTGTCCCAGATCCTCGGTTACTCCTCGGTTTTCCCAAATCCCAGATCCTCGGTTACTCCTCGGTTTTCCCAAATCCCAGATCCTCGGGAACTATGGGCATGTTTTGTGTCCCAGATCCTCGGTTACTCCTCGGTTTTCCCAAATCCCAGATCCTCGGTTACTCCAAATCCCAGATCCTCGGTAACTATGAGCATGTTTTGTGTCCCAGATCCTCGGCAACTGGGAGTTGCCTAAGATATGGGCATGTTTTGTGTCCCAGATCCCCTCAAATCCCAGATCCTCGGTTACCCCAAATCCCAGATCCTCGGTTACCCCAAATCCCAGATCCTGGTTACTCCTTGGTACCCAAAATTCCCAGATCCTCGGTAACTGGGAGTTGCTAAGAAAGGGAAGGTTTTGTGTCCCAGACCTCGGTAACTGGGAGTTGCCCTTTTTCCCAGATCCCAGGTCCTCGGTAACTATGGGCATGTTTTGTGTCCCAGATCCTCGGCAACTGGGAGTTGCCTAAGATATGGGCATGTTTTGTGTCCCAGATCCCCTCAAATCCCAGATCCTCGGT